AGTCGGTGGAAGACTGTTTGTTGCCTGGGTCGTCGGTGTATGGATTTTGGGGCTGTCGGTGTGGCCTGGTATGGGCAGTAGGTGGACTGGTTTTGTCGCTGGTTTGGTCGGTTTCGCTGGACAGCTGATGGCCAGGGTGGTTTCGGCGGTGGCTGGTTTTGCTTAAAGGCAGTTTGCCGGTGAGGCAGTCTCGGTGGAGGCTAAGGTTGGGGAGAAGGTTAGGGTTTGGGGTAGGGTTAGTGTATGGCTCTGATACCAACTTGGAATAATTGTGAGTAAAAGGAGATACTCAAATTAAGAGTAAAACCCCGTATATATAGGCAAAATATAAAAATCATAGTAAGGGTAAAAAAGGGAAAAGAAATCCTAATAAACCTAGGAAAAGAAATCCTAATAAACCTAGACTATCTATACTCCAACAATTAGTTATTACACATGTACATTAAATTTGCCATCTACCATATAACCCACATAACACTTAGTTTATAGCTCGTAGAGCTAAAAGAACCCGTTTGTGTCTATTAAAATATGAACAACCATTCAAATAAAAAATAATAATAATAATTCTATAGTATATGAAATACATGAAAGAAAGAAGTAAAGATAGTGCAAAACTCTCTTGCTTTCTTTGTGAAAATTAACACAATATCCCTTTTTGTCGTAACTAATACATATGACCCGACACACTTTCTCTTAGGATTTGGATTTGACTTTAAATTTGATTAACTATGACTTTAGAATCTCGATCATAATCAAATATACCGACGTGATACGATATTCATATTACCTTCTTCAACAAGTAATGAAAATTGAGAATTTATTGAATGAAAAAGTGAAAGGTTTGCAAAATTGAGGCAAATGAGATTAAGATGGAGTCTAGAGGTAATTTAGTCGACTCCTGAATACTCAAAGTCTCAAACCAAACACATCCTGCAATCCTTAAACAATGTGATATGGCTGATCAAAGGAATTATTCCATGATCTATCTGTCTATGTGACACCCAAAAACTATAAAGATGCACACATGGTTGCCATCAGCCAAAATAATAATAAAAAATAATTTTATTTTTTTTTTGTTTATTTTCATTGATATATCAGATTGGGATAAGGCTACACCTTGGCGAAAGTTGATCTATATTATTGATTTTGATTTAAATTATCTGTAATTATTGATTAAAAAATAATAAATTATCAAAAAAAATAATAATAAAATAACAAAAAATCTGGAGGTTCAATAGGGTAGGGAGAAGTAGTTGATTTTGAATGTTTCTCTGACTTGCATTCATGGTTTCCACTTGCAATGCCAGTAGGTATGAATGCATAAATCTGTGGACTCACTGCATCTCACATGCAAAGGATATTATGACCTCTCTCTCTCTCTTTCTCTCTTCTCTCTCTCTCTCTCTCTCTCTCTCTCTCTCGTGTGGTGGCTTGGTGGCCAGAAAAATCTGATCAGGACTACACGTGGAGGCAACCAAACTAAATCTTAAATAATAGACCCATCACTCCTTTTTCCATGTGGTCAATCCTCCCAAAATAGAGGGAGGATTCCCAGTCGTGAGGCTATCTCCTCTTCCTGCTATTTTGATCACTCTCTCTCTCTCTCTCTCTCTCTCTCTATTTAGCCAAGTGATAGATACATCAAGAACGACTTTGCCAACCCAAAAGAGGTGGTTCTTATTTGATTCAACTACCCCCAAAGCTTGTTATGATAATTCATTTTCTAAGCATTTCTTGGAACTATAATATGGAATATATAGTAATACATTAAGCAAAAAAAAAAAAAGTATTATATGAATGGAGTAAAATCTGTTCCAATATATTTTTCTTTTATTTTCCTTTTTAGCAGATCGCATACCATGAATTTAAGCAGAGTCTATTGTTTGTATCTCTCACTAATACATGAAAGTGATCTATTAAAGAAAAAAACGAAGAAAAAAGTATTTGAGGGATCTTGATACCCTATATATAATATATATATATTTTTTGATAAATATGAGAAGGGGTGGAGGCAAAGAAAAGTGTCGAACGACCACCCTGATAGGCCTTCATCGATGGGATCATGAGGCCCTGACCGCGCCTAGAATACTTCTCGGGACCAGATCTAACTAGGCTAGGCTAACATAGCGGTCAACCACCAAGCTCTAATGAGAACTCAAAAACTCGAACTCTCAACCTCAAGGTGGGGAGTAAGGCCAGTATCCCACTAAACCACCCTACTTGGTGGTACCCTATATATAATATACCCACAAAACATATCATTAAAATTAAGTAGCTATTAGGGTTATAAGTATAAGACAAATCAAGTTGTTTGGATTTAGTTTGAGATTGGTTCATTCGATACTTATTGGAGATCGACACAGCCAATAAGTCAACCAAACTTAAGAACGCATTTAAGCTAGTTAAATTTTAAACTCGACTCTGCAAGCTATCAAGAAATGGACCATTGACAAAGTCCTGTTTTGAGATCAACACAACTTCAACTAATGTTTGATGGAACAATCGTAATTTGACTGGTATGTCGAAGGGTAGTTATGGAGTTGTGAATTCGGTTTTCGGTGCTCGGAATGCAACAACTGTACGGCTCTAGTTCTGTCACGGAAATTCAAGAGTAAGAGATTGTTGTGGTCCCGATGCCTAAGTTAGATCAGCAGGTTGTTCCCTAGAATAACTTATAGAAAAACAAGACATTTATCGTGATAAAAGGAGAGGTAGAGAGAGAGACTATTCTTTTCAAGTGTTACCCTTCTTAACCCTTTCATTTAAGGGGGGTTTTTATAATGAAGGTTGAGTGTAAACCTCATTTAAAGGGTAATGATTTGGGTTAATCATTCCTGGTTTGTGTGTATGTAAAACTATTTTCATGCAACTGTTTTGGTTACTAATGCGTGTTAGCTCTTCTAAAGTCCATGTGAGATGTGAGATGTATGATGTCACGTGTCAGATATTTCCTATTCGGAATCATGCAGATGATGACTGACGTTTTTGGATATTTTTAGAGAGATCGAGAAACAACCTCCAAGGTCTACACTCTGTGCTTCATTGTCTGAATTATATCCATCAATGTTAAACCCGTTTAAGTATCAAAACCAACTGAACTAGTCCACTACTTTGGTTTGACTCTATTTACATCTTACTGGCTAATGAGTTATGTTTTCTTTTAAGGCACTAAAGTACTAAAAGAAAAAAACATCATATAATCAAGAAGAAATAGAAGTTTTGCGCCATAAAATGCATTTCTTTCGCAGCCATTCTTATTTTCTTGATAGTTATAACCAATGAATAATTAATAAGATCGGTTCAATTCAGAATGTTAGTTTGAAACCCGGACTCTCGCAGTTTATGAATCAGAAGTAATTGGACCATGATAGATGGCTTAATTTGCAAAAAGAAGCCCAAGGAATAACAGCCTTCTTGCAGAACTTTAGCCTATAAGTGATTGACTCATGTTAGCCCATCAACTGGGTATTCAACAGCTTCACACAACTTCAAGTACTTCTCCGTAATTTCCAAGTGTAGGCAGCTGTTGTGGCCAGTTTCACCGTACTTGGGTGAGTGGATCATGAAATCATCTCTGGGTGAACCCTCTAACAAATTATTATTATTTTTTAAATCGGTAAAACACATATGATAAATTAATATTTATTCACATCCTATTTAATACTTAATAATTAGTTAAACACCAAAACTTGCGGGCCCTATCTATTACATCTCTCGAGCCCCAAAGAAAACCGCCCTCCCCTTCAGACTCCATATCTCTTTTGACTCAATGTACGTGGGCACCTGATATCTACGAGAGTTCACCCACTCCGATTACAATATTTTTTTCTATTGTGCCTAAAATCTACGGAAGATATGTATATATAACATAGCAAAAAATAACAAAAAGACTAATCATAACCCTTTACTAAAAAATAAATTAATAATGCCCATTTACGATCATGACTCTATTGCCAATATCATTTAAAATATATTTATATGTGGACCCGGGCATTATATGATGACCCTAATATTTAAACAATACCAAAATAATTTTATAATTTTATTTTTTAAAAATTACATGATGACCTCAATATGTCGAAAACTTATTTGAATGTTTTAAAAACCTGTCCAAAAAATTAGTAGCCATTTATGTATGAATGCAATAATCAGTAAAAACAGGGTGGGCATAATTAATAATACTTAAAAAAATATAATGAAACTTATAGGTTAAAAATGTCAGGGGAAAAGTTTGAGGGGGGGCATAGTTCTTTATTAGCTCCCCCAATGGGTCCAGCACCTATGAAGGTAGATGAATAAATTATTGAGGTGTCGAATGAGTCTTATATCGATTGGTGACGGGGAAGTCTTGAGATATAAGGGACCGAGTCACTCCACCTATAGTTATTTCTTTTTGATCAAACACCTACTAGTTTTTGGATTGTGTTGGATATATGCATACATTGCAAAGGATCTCCTGCCATAAACTCTTGTTAACTCCTTCCTCCGGTGTGCCGAGTTGAAAAAAAAAAGCACCATTAGCAATGCCAAACGGGAATTTCGGGTGATAGAAGCTGCAGGGGTCTTTATTCTCAACCTAAATTAAGACTAGCTACTAAAGCCAGTTGCGAAACTTCCTCTAACAACCCATGCTGCATACTGTGAAGCATCAAAACAATGCTACTCTTATTCTCCATCCAAAGCATATTAAGATGGCTTTACTAGTTTTTTTTTTCCCCGCAATGTGAGAATCCCTCACGCGATACGTGAATAAGCCAACGTTTCCATGTACGAATTGTTCAAAGAGAAATTGTTGCTTTATATGGTTTATGACCGATAAGCTTACCGGGGGAAGTAACTAGTGCTTTAAGAACACTAGCTGTCCCTATTCCCACTTTCTACCTGAGTAAACGAGTTGAATAACAATTCCAGACTGCAGCATTATGTAACCTTTAAGAACACTAGTTGTCCCTTTTCTCATTTTTTCAGTTCTTCCCAATATTATATCACCTGCTACCAATTCAAGCATTGCCCATTATGTAAGTTTGTGAATAATCTTGAGGGATCTTGCTTCCAATCCACAAGCTCTGCAATGAGTGATTATTAAGTTATCATCAGCAATTAGCCATTCATCACCACTGTCGAAGCTCTGTATTACCTCCCAAGAAGCCATTCAACCTAAGAAGATGCTTTTTATTATCTCAATTAGTTGAAATGATGCAAGGCCATTAGGCCATTTTCAAGGCTATAGATCAATGCACATATGGATCTTGCAGAATAGACTGATTGATTTTTCCCTTTTTCTTTTTCTGTTATGTCAGATTGTCCAATATAACGAAAATCGACTATTTGCAAAACATGAAAGAACTGATCAAAATGCATCACTATCATTATGTTATATGCTTATTCAGTAGCATCACTCTGTCATGAACTGATTTTATCATTTAGTTATACAAAACAAAAGCAAAGACTTGAAAGAAATAGACTCTACAAGGAAATTCAATCCTTGTATGTCTATCAACCCTCACTACACTATTAGAAAAGAGGTTGATCATACATGCTTATTGAGGAAGGAGACAAGGAGCTGGTTCACCTGGTCAGGCAACTGCTCTTGGACAAAATGGGTTCCCTCTGGCATGTATATTATCTCCAAATCAGGAACATATTGTTTGACCATACCACTCTTTATGTACTCCACTAATCCCCCATGTTTTAACGCGTAATCCTTTTCACCCATGATCAGCATTGCCGGAACTCTCACTTTAAGATCAGTTACTCCATAGTCTTCTAACCAAGACCTGCCCAAATCCTCAAATTTAGCATCAGAATACGATCCATCAACATTTAGTTAATTCAGTGCTCTTACAAATTTTGGGGCTTTTCCCCCTTTTAGGATGTTATGTTGCAATGGTAATTTGCTTAGATAAATGATACATTTACTGGCTCAGTATTCCTGGAAATATCAAATTTACCTGTAGGGTACCTGCAATGGTGTTTGAAAACCAGATTTCTCATATAGAGCTGCATAGTTGCTAGATCTTCCTCAGTGAACCAGAGGGGTAGCGGTGTAGATGGATCAATCAAGTCCATTATCTCCTGATCCTCCCCAGCCACAGGTATTTCACTTAATGAGAAGAGAATGTAGATGTTTTTCACCACTCTCTTGACATCTTTTCAGCTCTCCCCGGCTCCTGAGAAAAGAGTACGAGAAAATGGCGAATTGAGTGGGAGATCAAGATAACAGGACACAATTTGTCGATATCTAGAAGGTGCAACGACATAAATCTACCCGCCATCTTGACACATAGAAGCCTTTGGGGAGAAGATCTATAAAAACTGCTTCTGGACCTGAGGGAATGAAGGGCACACCTAGTGTTACAACTCCTAAAACCCTGTCTGGGTAATGGAGCGCGAATTGGTAAGCTGGTCGAGGTCCAAAGTCCTTCGCAAAAAAAAACCTGGATATTACTGAGGGATTAGCCAAATTTTACATGATGGTTGTGAGGAAATGAAAGATTTTCATTGGAAGAATCACAGACAAAATTATCAACCAAATCTCATGCAAAATTGGGTTACCCTTAATCATTATTGCCATGGGGAAAGCAAGAGTAGCTTAGAATATGGACTCCTGACATAAACTCTTTTTGTCTCCTTTCAATGAATGCTCAAAGAACCTTTTCAAAGTAACGAGTAGTATTCAGATTTTGAGATGAAAGAACTCCTTTCATGTCCTTCCATCAAAATTTCCATTATTTCGAGAAAAAATTCACTGACCATGTGTTGATAACTCTTCTTCCTATCAATCTTGACTAGTTCCAACACAAACACTTCTGATTCCGCCCTCAAATAAAATGGTGATAGATTCCCTAATTCAAGAACTATAGAACTCAGTTTTTGATAAAAGAATGAGGTTCTCATTGCTTCACAAAAGGATCATAAGAATCTTACAACAAGTATATTGAAAAGTTTGCATAACGTCTGATCAATGGTTTGTAGCAGTACTTATTCTCTCATGCTTAGAAAATTGGTCCAAGGGTATCGAAAAATTAATTTTTGATATCATACTTCTTTTAACAGAAAGTTTGAAGTGTAAAATTTTTGTATTTAGTTTTACTTTATTATTTTCATAATTAATGTATATAAAGGAACCAACCGAAATGAATCGAGCGAAAATATATAGCAGCAAATCATTTTTTGAACTTTATACCTTGGGAATATTTAGAGTGTTAGCAAAATAACTTCAACAAAGTAGAAGGTTTTGATCATGTATTCACTTTCCTTAAGAAAATTATGCCCTCCACTATGTTGATGCTAGGTTTATGGCAAATTCCTCTTAGATTAACAAAACCAACATAATTTTAGATAGCAAACTCTAAAATTCTCCCAAGAACAGAATAGAGAAACGTTATAATATATTGAAGGATTTGTACAAGTATTTATAATACCTTAGAGATGTAAATGAGAGACACAACTCTTGAGCCAAAAAGATGTAAAGATGAGACACAACTCTTGGGTCAAGAGACATTAATTAATACAAAAATAATTAATCATTTATAGAGTTCAAGCCCAAGATGATTTTTTGACTTTAAATATTATTTTATTTAAAGTCTAATCAAGGCCCATTAATTTGAAATATTTAGAGCTTCCCTCCAAATCTTCCCACTATCCAAATAAATAAAATTTGGTGTGTTTCCCTTTTAAACTCTTACACTCCCTTTTAACTTTTTCAGTGTGGGATACCTTACATTACTGACTATCTTACATTACCAACTATTTCTGACAATCCCCCACTTAGATAGTAATTTAAGTAATCAAAATCAACTAAAGTTTACGCATATAGAAGGTGTCTTTCGACTTAAACGTGCTATTAGTATAAACATTTCAAAACATTGTCAAAATCAATGGTTATTTAAATTTATTAAACCTTGATTTTATACAACAAGATCAGAAATATCATACACATAAACTTACAAGCTTCTCTAAATATATTCATCGTGAGTTTTAGCACCATATTATAGCCTTGTGCTGCCTCCTAGTTTCATGAACCCTTAACAAAATTTTATTTTCAAACTCTTGATAGAAGCGGCACCACTTCTTGTATTCACATAGGTGAAGAGCAATTTAAATTTCAAAATTTTGAATTTTCTTGTTCAAAAACCGAACACAAAGTCTTCATTAAGAATAATTAATATTCAACCTTTTTTCCATAAGCACTATATTTAAAACCTTGTGCTTGCTAACAATCACTAATAATTTGTTATTACCACTTAAACCTTTAAAATTGCTAAGCAACAAGAAAGGTAAGATTTCCATTATTAGTGACAAATTTAGAATAGTTTAAAATCCCTTGCACTTGTAGTGCTTTTAATCATATCTCTCGAGAGTATTTTAGTTAATGAATCAGCCAGGTTTTTACCAGATCTAACATAGACAATTGTGATTATACCATCAGAAAGTAGTTGTTTAATATATTCATGTCTTAAAGCAATATGTCTAGATTTACCATTACAAATATTGCTAAAAGCCCTAGACATAGATGCTTGACTATCACAATGCAAAGAGATTGTTGGCATTGGTTGTGGCCACAACTTTATATTCAACAATAAATTTATCAGTCATTCCGCCTCTTTACCTGTCACTGCCAACACAATAAATTCAAATTCCATTGTGGAATGAGTAATACATGTCTGTTTCTTAGAAGCCCATGATATAACTCCTCCACCTAAAGCGAAAATCCAACCAGACGTTGATTTGTTATCATTGATACTAGTTATCCAACTAGCATCAGTATAGCCTTCTAGTACCGAAGGGAATTTGTTATAAAACAAGGCAAATGACTTTGTTCTTTTAAGATAACCGAAAACTCTTCCAATAGCCCTCCAATGTTCGGTACTAGGATTACTTGTATATCTTGAAAGTTTGCATACAGAAAAGGCAATATCAGGTCTAGTACAATGCATAGCATACATTAAACTACCAATTGCACTTGCATAGTCTAATTGACTAATGAATCTATCCGAATTTTTTGTCAATTTGTTGGAAACAGCAAATGGGGTATTAGCTTCTTTAATTCTCAAGTGGTTAAACTTGGAGAGAATCTTATCAATGTAATGAGATTGGCACAAAGCAAAACCTCTACTATGTTTCTTAACTTTAATCCCTAAGATAGTATTGACTTCTCCCAAATCTTTCATTTTAAATTGTGAAATCAAGTATCTCTTAGTATCATTTACTCCTTGCAAATTGGTTCCTATGATTAGCATGTCTTCAACATAGAGACAAATTATTACACCATAGTCTTTAGTAAACTTGAAGTAAACGCATTTATCTGCTCCATTATGATTAAAGCCATGAGATAATATGACAGTATCAAATTTCTCATGCCACTGTTTAGAAGCTTGTTTTAATCCAAACAAAGATTTCACCAATTTGCAAACTTTCTTTTCATTAATAGGAAGTACAAATCTTTCAGGTTATTCCATATATACTTCCTCATCAAGATCACCATTTAAGAATGTTGTTTTTACATCCATTTGATGGATGTATAAATCATATATTGATGCTAAAGTAAACAACACTCTTGCGTTGTCAATTTGCGTTTGTCCACACTCCGCCATTGATTCTTGTGGCTGTGGGAGCCTGGTGGTTTATGGTGGTTAGGGTTGATACTTATTTTTGCTCGTAATTGTGAACCAAATTTAATTGATGGATCAGATAGAGAAGGATATTTGCACCTTGAGAATTCATGGCCAATTCTACCACATTTATAACAAAAATCTCTCAATCTCTTGTACCTTAGTTCAATGAGTTTTTCTTTGCCTTCAGATTGGGGAAGCTAGAAACAACTTGGGAGTGGTTGATCCAGATTTATGGTGACTCTGGTTTGGAGGTAGCCTTTCCAGAGGGTTCCTTGCCTGAGGTCTTGTATCGGAAGGGCTGGTTCTCCCAAACTTTGTGCAATTTTGAGGGCATTTGTAGCAGTGATCATGTTTGGGGCCAAACTATGTGGTTAGATCTAGAAAGGGGTTGTGTAAAGTCTAAATCATCAATAGAAGTTGTTGGTTTCCATTGCTTTAGTACCAGCAGTTGTCCATTTATGGACCAAGGGCTTTGCTTGACTATTCTTTTCTTAAGATCATCATTTGTGAAGATGAAGATGAGAGTGTCTCTATACCCATCTTTAATTTTGAATTTGTTGTCTGCACTCCATGCAATGGAGATTATTGTTTTAACAACTTGGTGATTGATTCTTTTCTCTGAATATATCTTCCCAATGAGGCATGAATGTGATACAAAGGTTTCCGTGGGTTCATCAGATTGGAGTTGAATGGTGAGGCGATGGGTGGGGGTTTTGACATGTTTTGTGTTTTTTGAGTGTGAGGGAACGTTATTTTCTGGGTGTGAGGGAAGTTTGTTTGCTAGGTTATGGGGGTTTTGCATATCTAGAGGTTAGATTATGTTTGGGTGATTGTTGGTGTCTGTTTCAGGTTGAAATTCAGTGGGAGTTGTGAAAAATATCAAAATGAACTTAGTGGGTATGGAGATATGGAAGGAATGAAGAACATCACTAGATATGGAGGGATGGAGTTAAGGTGAAGGTAAAATCATAGAGATGATTTTCAATAGGCTTTGAATTTTGGGGATTGTGAGAAATAGGAAAGTGTGCTCAGTGGGGGTGGAGAGATGGGTGGGATGGAGACATCTTCAGTGAGTAACAGAGAAAATAGTTGATTTTAGTGAGGCAAAAATCGCCACTTAGCACAGGAGTACGAGGTACTACTCATGGGTTCGTTAGAGTGAGAGGCGCCACTCAGGGGAACTTGCCACCATGGGTAAGGGAAAGCTCTCCAGAGAGAGAATATTATGGATATGTTAAAAAGTTACTGTTAAAAATTTGGTTTAAAATTTGAGTCTGCTTCAATTTATTTTCAAAATAAGTTTTGTTTTGATTTAGTATAAATTTAACTCCAAAATTGGAGCAGTTTTTAAGCTATTTTGACTCAAATTTAAATTTGAGTCTACATTAAGTCAAGATTGAATATGCTCTTAGGGTCATGTTATAATGCATAAAATATACACCTCTAATTTGG